GAGCATATTTGTAAGAATACTGGGCTGGTTAAATTCACATGATGTAGACACATGCATTTTTCAGATAGTACACTTTAAATGAAAGAAATGGTACGTGAGGATAACCATTTAGCCTTTCCTATACAGGGACCTGTGAGTTTTAGACATTAAACATTTGTGAGAACATAAATGTCACATCGTCTCTTTTTGTTTTAATTTGATACTTTGTATTTTTATGCCTGCTACAGAACAGTATAATTAGGTCATGACACTAGGATACGTTAACACTGCCGATAGTTTCAGTGTTCAATCTGATAATATCAAGATAATAGTCAAGACAATATTATGTTAAAGGAGAACTCCGAGATAAATGCTTCATAAGCCTTTTGTGGCTCCAGAGAGAACTGCGTTAAATCTACTAAGTTGCCTCAAGTGATGTGTCATGTGTTACCAAACCTCTGTAGCACATGCTACATTAGCATGCCCGAATTCCAGAAGTTGCATTGTGGGTAACTGCAGGAAACAGGAAGAGGAAAGCATGCAATGAAAAATATGGGTTTTTATTCCTTTTTTATTTATTCCTCTTTTCTTTGTGTGCTATATGTATATCTTCTTTTTTTATACATGTAAACGTATCTCTCTCTTAACTCTTTATTATGTAAAATACAGATTTAAAAAAAACAAAACAAAATATATAAATATATTCTGCTGAATTGATTTTGAGATTGCCCTCTGTGAATCTGATAATGTTATAGTGCAATGCTAAATTACTTTTATACTCTTTTACTAACTTGTGTGCAAGATAAATAATTATATCATTTGTACTGTCACTCCATACAATAAAATTTCCTTTGTGCTGCCATAAACAAAATAACAACGTTTCCAGAATACTGTGGATAATCTACAAATTTAGCTGTTAACAGATTTTAATGGAACTACTTTCTGTTGAGCAGCAAAAATTAAATTCCATTCACCTCCATTACATTGGTATAGCATCAGGACTTCTACAAGCAGATATCTCCAAACCACAGTCCATAAAACCAAAACTATCTGCACTGTTGGATACCACTCGAGGAAGTTATTTTTTTCTTTGTTTTATAAACTGACCCATTTACCTATGTTTTATGTTTTAAGTACCAACACTACACCAAACCTGGCACATGTTGTGGCCAAAATGTCAAGAATAAGTTTTAACAGCTGAATGTGCAGGCCATCCCACCCTTCGCTGCTTCATCTTAATATAGTTCCAAGCTGCAGTCATTTGTGGTCCTTCACTGCTAATAGCATCTCCTCAAATGAGCTCCCATTTCCGCATCTCATCTGAGCCCAGCATGACCCACAGATAGGCCCTTGTAAATTCTCCCCCCATCTGGCTCCTTTTAAGTCTATGTCAGACTGTCCATAATCGCTCTGTCAAAATGGCATCCCGTCACCACCGCTTGTTATGAGGTAGCGCAGAGAAGGAGGCTGAGACATACCAGAGTCTGAGCAGTCTAGCGAGCCTGCCAGCCCCCTTCATGTAACATGAGGAAATGAGTTTGTGTCAGGACTATTTTGGAGTTGCTTTGAAGTCTTATTTTGCCCCCATTGCCTCCAGGGGGACAGCACAGAAAGCAAAGTGGGAGGGGGGTGTGGGTGGTACATTGTGGAGAAATCTGCTGAAATGCCCTGATAACCCAAAAGGCATTGCTCTCCTGGTCTCATGCCTGGGTGGTCAAAGCGCATAGAAATGCATCAGCAGTCAGATCTGATATGTATGTCACTGTGTCACATACTGCACAGCCTGCTTTTGTAGTGTGATTTGTCTTTTTATGCCAACTGTGGTACTCATGTTCCTTTCTGCATGCATAAACATGTCCTTAGGAGAGAGTTTCATTATCCTGAGGCCTTTATTACTCTCTGTTTTATTTATGGATTGTTTACATTTTGCACTCACAATTTCTAAGTCAAATGTAATTCTTTTATAGCTTAAAGCCTAGGTGGTGTATTCATATATGCAGTATTACAAGAAAAACTACAGCATACAGAAAAGAACTCAAGTTTTCAGTGCAAAGTTGCTGTTTAGATGCATTCTCTTTTGTAATTGACTGCTGTTCCACAAGCATTTAAAAAGAGACACACACAAGAGAGGAAAAAATTAAACAGACACATCACAATCCCAGTACTGAAGAAGACATATTGTTATTATCATATTGTACAAATTCATAGATCAATAGTCAGCAGAGGGTCTGTCGATATGAGCCGGGAGCGGAGGACCCCTCAGTGGAGAGAAGGGGGAGGGAAATATTCCTTAGGCAGACCAAACAATGATTTTTATTCTCTCACAGGCAAACACAAATATGTACACACACTGGGGACTACCTTAAAATTTCTTCACACACTGAGGCGTAATGCATTAAAAAGTAATAAGCCCATAAGTGGCCATTCAGCAGCACCTTGACCTTGAACACAAGTTTTTGGGGCCCATCTTGTCTTGAAACCCCCATTTACTTCTATAGCATCAGCAGTAATAACAGCAAGAAACTGCAGAAAATAATGTCAACACAATGTGAATTCACACATGCGCACATGCACACACGCAGCCACATGTACACAGTACACACAGACTCTTTGGTGAAGATGGTGGATGCTTCCCACCCCCTGTTGCGTCCGGAGCGATGTTCCTGGAGTGGGGACAGCGAGAGGGCATCCCGCAGTGCTGTTTGAGCGTCCTTGCCAGCGCCAGACAACTTCACTATCCCTGCCCTAGCAGGGGGCGATAATCACATCAAGCTCCCCTGACAAGAGGCATTGAATTCAGCTCCGGTCCCCTTAAGAGTCTGGCATCCAGCAGTCTCTCCTGAACATGCTGCTGACGTTACAATGAGAAGGTTTGTGTTTTCATTTTTTTCACTCCGTGGCATCGGTCTTAGTTTGTTTTTTTTTTTCTTTTTTCTTTTTTTTTTTTTTTTTTTTTTTGCCGCTGCCTCCGAAATGTATTTGGGAACGATTTGGGATTCCATGTCACTGGGGTGAAAATCTGAATTGGCAGAATCGACTGTTACGGCCATTGCCCTGTGAGAAGTGTTATTGTATTGGTTCCTTCTGTTTGTCATGGTGAATTCTGTACAATGTGCCTTTTGCTAGTCTGTCCTGAGGGATATTTTTGAAAAGTTTTCATGGGAAATCGCTTTTTTATGTATGTCATTTGGAATTTCCATAGATTATATCCTGTGATAGCCACCATCGAAATGGTCGAAGCACTGTCAGTGACTTTACACACAAAATAAAAGGCTAAGGACTGACACATTATCAATGCGTTGACATGGGTTTACATTCAAGCTCTAACTCCTGCTGGGCGGTGGTCAGAATAAAAAGGATGCTATCGCTTTAAGAGATCCACGTCCTCTCCCAAACCACGCTCGATCAATTTTTGCCGGCTCCTCTGGTTAGCAGCAGTATTATGATTTTTTTTTTTGTCAGTTGTCAGCTTTTGTGTTTCCGTACATTCATGTAATAGTTTTGTACGATAATCTGTGGACGGGTATCTCGTGTCACACGCTGCCCTTTCAAGGGTTATGGGAGACATTGTTTACGTTTTGTGAATACCCAATACTCTTCACTATAGCTATTTTTGGAAAAATGCTGTCCACCCCTCAAGACTTAAAATACCAAGGACTAAGCGGGGGCATCCTTTTTTCTCCTGAAATCCACCAAAACAGATGAGAACCACACTGGACTGTTTTAAGCAGCTTTGTGGGCCTGCAGAGCTCCGCTGCTACCCAGGGAGTCTGGCTTCCAGCAGCTATACTCCATTCATCACCTGCTTTCAATGGCCACCACCAAGCCGCCTCCGGCTAGAAGGCCAGGTAGGGTGCCGGGTGGTGCATAATGTTTGGGGGATTAGCAATCAAAGGAGTGCGGAGGCTAGGACCCTCCGTCCCGGCCCGCCATTCACTCCTAGCAGGGGAGGAGAGCTCCAGCAGTGGCCAAGGTCAACGTCTCCAGCTCGGCAGGAGGTAACTGGGAAAGAACCCTGGGAACCAGCCGCCTGCTCTGTGCTAATCGCCGGCTAGCAGGCTAGCAGCACAGCAGGTGTCTCACCCGCCAAACATTCATCTGTTTGTGCTGCTGATAGCATGGCTGACAACAAGATAATGCCTTGCTTTTACTTTCTTCTCACTTTCCCCCTCTTTTCTCTCGTCTTTCCATCTTTTGTTGATCTCTTTTGCTCTGTTCCTGTCGGATTCTGTGGGATTTGGTTTTCTTTCTTTAAACTAAACTGTATGTTGAGTTATCAGAATGATAAACTGGAACAATAGTCTTTTTAGTCTGGCATAAGTCGTCCTCACATTTTCATGGGAAGGATGTGGGTGAGAGGAGTTGGGGTATAATGACAAAGGCCATTTGAGGATAAAAGGTGAAATGTCTTTTTCAAAAGTTTCTTTCAAGTTACCATGGTTTCAAACCAACCTGGCCAAACTACAGTTGGAAAAGAATTTTTTTGTGTGTGTGTGGAAGGAACATTATAATAAACAATATTGGTATAAAAGACCAAGAACTTTTTAGAGTTAGAAGTCCCTCTTTGTATTTGCTATCACCATCCTGAATCTCGTGTGACGGAATAGTGATTATGGCCATCGTTTTAAGCTGATTTGGTATCCTGTGGTGCGAGACATTGGGCTAAGAAACCCTGATGGGACAGCTGGTTGAAGACTCACAGATTGTGGCAGAGTGGCCCATAAATTCTACGAGATCGCAAACTGGACAGATTAGCTTAGCCCGCTAGGACTGACGAGGGGGAAGCAAGCAGTGAGGTAACGATGATGAATCGTTGTCGTTCCAGTCGGAGGCAAAAATGCAACCACGCTCTGCCACCCCACCCTCCCACAAACACACCCCTGTTGGGATATTGGCAAGTTGTCATGACGACAGGGATGTTCTCCTGATGAAGTCTCGCTTAGCGCTGTCCAATCAGATCGTGGAGCTACAACCGCAGCGTGAGCAGGGGAGGACGCACCTATTCCAGTTGCACAATGCTGAGAAAGGACAGGCGAAACCCTGGACCACCAACGGGAAATTGGCAATCCGGGGGAGGCTGTCAATGGGCTGCCATGGTTCGACAATACACAAACAGCGGGGGTCGTGGAAACAGGGGATGCCAGGTAGGGGGTCTCCGTCAAGTCTGATGCTGTTAGAGCCGAAATTCTTTGCTGCTATCAATACAAAGTATTAATGCATTATTTATTTTTGTTGTTGGCATGCAGTTATTTAACATTTCTATTAATATGGTTTATATGGTGTTTCGGGATGTAGGTCGTAGCTATCGGACAGCTTCAGGTGCACTTTACCAAATTGGCAAATCACTCCTGCAGGTGGTTTTTACAAATGTGCAACAACCGCAAGAACCACAACAAAAAGGCAACGGAAATGGTGTGAAAAGAGGGGAAATGTCATGTAGCATTAACTTAAATGTAATTTTGTATTCATTTCACTGCGGGATGTGGACCAGGAGTAGAAGAGGCTAATATACTGAAACTGCAGGTAGCAAAGTGAACGAAAAACTCTCCTGGTGTTTATTTGATTCAGGCCTTTTATTTCAAACCCAGGGGAGTATTTCTCTTTTCATTTTGCTGCTGGCTGACCAAAGGAGAAGCCGGGGCTGTTTGTAGCTCTATGAAAGATGGAGGGCTTGGTGGGGGCGCACTCTGGTTTTTTTCCAAGCACTGCAGGTAGCCATTATGGTCATCGTCCTCTTAAGCTTATCCTATCGAATAGTAGCCGTCTACAATTAATATTCCTTTTTTTTCAAATGCTGGTCTGTTCATAAGATGATTATGATTTGCATTTATTTCTTTTAGCTGTTCATTTGAGCACCAAACCTTTTCTACCCTATTCTAACCCCTCCCTCGCTCAGCTCCAGTCCCTCTATCATGGGGTCTCAGTGGGACGCCATTCGACAGACTGACCCCCAGTAGTGGTTGTGTCTGACTCTTCAAACTTGAGAATCAAATGTAGGTTGTCAGCATGGAAAAACCACCTTTATTAGCTCCTGGCTGGATATCAGCATGTTTTTCTTTTTAAAATGTTCTCTTTGGTTGAACATTTTCGCAAATGACGGCTCCACAGTGAAATGATCAGCCCAGCGGGATGGTTTGGGGGTCATTGTGTTGTTTAAAGACTGTTGAACCAAAGGTTTGGCAATTTAAAGACCAGTTCCTTTTGCTGATGTAAAACTATATTTCACACTGGGAAGACTTTTGCATATCTGGAAAACATTGCCTATGTTGTTGTCTCGTACTAGTTTATTCAACTGTATTTTGGTAATTTGGAACAAATGATTGGTTTCACACAATGCAAAGAAATGTAAATCTGTGGTGAGTGTGGGCCTCACTGATGGTGAGCATGACTGATAAAATGTTGTATGCAATGTTAGTTATTCTTTTGTGGATATTTCCACAAGTATATTAAATTGTTTTGAAGTAATTTATGGAATAATAGCAGGCTAAATTACATGGTAATAGTCAGTCAGTCCAGATTTCAGCATGTAGTTGCAAAACCCCCCATTTCTGATTACATGTTGAAGGTATAATATGAAGGTTAAGCGAATTCAGAGTTGTGGAGTCTGAAAGTTGGCTCAGGTTACAGTGATAACAGACTTATAGTGCAGTAAGACACAGACAGGCTGTCACTTTTTCCACCAACTCAGCATTTTTAATCCAACCAAACCAATTGAACATACATGAAAGAACTCTATATGAGGTCTGGTCAGACAGTTTGATACGAGATATTTGGCCATTTGGCCTGAGCAGATACTGTATGTTTCAGCTTAATAGTGGGAGACTGGATTTAGGTAAAGACGCCAAAAGCAGCTCATCACTGCAGGCTGATTGCAGGACTATTATGTCATTTGTGATGGCAATCAGCACTGGCCAGGGCACAGGGAAAACATGCTTTACTTGTTTAACCTTCATACAACCCCAAGTCAACTACATCCAAGCTAATGGCAGCCAAGATGGAAATAGTGGAATAAACTGCTGACAGTAACCTTGAGAATTAACTAACACAGAGACTCAAATTAGAGTTTTATAATGTCACAGACTTGTTTGACAATATTGTTTTTGTGTTTTAATCGACTGAATATGAATTATATGTATATATGTATGTATACGTATATGTATGGGATATGGGACTTACTATAGCCCACATACATTCATCCATGCTTACAATTTCCCATGCATTAAAGCATCTCAATGGGTGTGGATATCATTTTTGTGGATGTCATTTAAATGTGAAACCAGCTATCCCAGGGAAAAATTGCTTATTCACATTCACTTACAAGTTGGAGCGAAGGGGTTTTCCCATTGCTTTGAAAGTGCACACCACAAATGTTCTGGAGAGTCTGCGGACAGTGATGTCAGATTGTTTCAGGGTGAGAGGGTTTGTAGCAGGGAAACCGCTGACGTGAGATGATTGCTGTTCTTGTGATGCAGATTAGTAACATTTTGGTGACTGGGGTCAGATGTGGTGAGCTCTGCACCGTCCTGTTTACTTTCTGACCTTGAGGCTCTGGAAGATCTAAAGAGCATTGTGTTCTCTGTAAATGGTGTAGTTTGAACATGAATGATGTGTTAGCAAGGAAAGAATCATGTTTACATGCAAGATTATTGCTTTCTTATGAATTTCTTAAGCTTTTATTAGATTCTTGTCCCCTTTTCCAAAGATCCAAAGTGCTGTAAAAGCTGGCTTGATGAAGATGTCAAAGAAGCCACAAAGGCCCTTGGGAAACCCAACGCAACCTGCTTGGAATTCATTTATGGCATAATGTAATCAACTGCTGCTGTCATCCAAATACTTCACAATTTGAAACATCCTAAGACAGAGTCATAATAAGCTGACGTTTCATGGGCTAAAACCAATTGCCAGAGACACGTGTCACTAAATGTCATCTTGAGGTTGATTGGACCACCCAGAGGTTGCCATTAAAAGCCATGCGGTTTTCATTGAAGAAGTTCCAGGGTTGCACCCCAAAGGCCGTTCCCCCTGCCCACCAACTCCACAGATCCAGATCCTGTGATCTATGACTGGGGTCCCCTTCCGCAAATTACTGCATTTGAAAGGACCCGAGCATGGACAAGAAAGAAACAAGGCCCCCAAACTGTCCTTCCTAACAGTTTGTCTGCATTCCTCCCAAAAAGAAAGCAGAACTAGAACAAATCATCTGATGACAGTCACACAGCAGACACTTCACCATTCACTCAGACCCCAGGCTGGAAATGTTTATTATGACCATGTGAAGATGGGGGGAGTGGTTGGTGCAAATTAATTGCCTATCAGTTGTCAGTGCAATGCAGAAAAATCTAGGACTGTGCAACTGTCTCTCTGAGAAGCTGTCAGCCAAGGACAATGAATGTATCCTATTTCTTCCCCACCTTGCTACATCTGATTTAATAGAGAGAGACGTGGACCACAGACAGAGCTGTGAGAGCGCGTACAGCAGCAATGTGGTCAGGTTGTAAACACACAGACATGAAGAGGAAGAGCGGGATTACAAACAGGTTTGATCTCCCCCGGGCTGTCCAGACCGGCTGACAGGGGAGGAGGGGAGAAGGGGAGGAGGCGGGGGAGCGGTGATTTGGGCTCCTTTTATTCAGTCAACTACCTCTCTCTTGCCGGCAGCGTTGTCATTTGGGCTGTCCGGATACAACTGAAAGTCCGGCACTGAAAAAAGCACTACAATGAAGCAAGAGACAGACAAACAGGCAGACAAATGCACCTGGAGGCTAAAGTCTCGGAAAACAGCTGAGACCCACCAATTTGTTAACAGCACAATTTTCAATAGAGTCATAACGTTAACCCCCTCCCTATCTCAATCTTTCTCTGTTTCTCTTCCTCCATTGTTCATTATTTTGGAGGCACTGAAAGAGAAGCTACACTAATTTCTACATCCAGAAAAGAGACCTCAAACTACCTTTAATGCCAAACAAATCAAATTGAATTCGTTATTATCGTTTCTTTCTTCAAATGAATCAAAGGCTTGTTTTAATTCCAGTGAAATTGAGTTCCATTTATCTTTATCTAGTTGTAATATTATCCCCTTTGTTCATATCCTATTGGTCTAGGACCGCCTAGGAATAGGCAGATCATGATATAATGATGGTGGGCCTTTCGTCCAGTGATGAGGCCCAATGTGAGGATGACACATTCGAAAGATGAAGAACACTTCTCCCCAGCCAATTTAGACTGGAGAATTAAAGGTCTAGCATAGCTAGAAAGTGAATCATGTCCTTCAGGTTAACGTCTGACATCTAATATCATTTGTGGCTAAAGGCAGATATCTTTAATAAAAAGAGTAATTGTACATCTGCAGGATAAATGTGACCTATCAGGCAAATCTCATCTCTTTTAAAGAATTAGTATGTAGAAAAGAGGGTTTGGTCGTATAGTGTGATTTAAATCCATCTTCATTATTGTCTGGAGTTGAGCTCATGATGATTTACTTTCCTTTGCAGCTTTCTCTACATTGTATAAATCACTGTAGAATAATCTAATTGCTCTTTAAGTATTCTAAGCGTTTTAATATTTAATGATTCCAAATCACGGATTCCCAAAACACATGTAAGGATTTATGCACCAACAGCCTAAAGAAATTTGTTGGTACTTGTAGCGTGGTGCAAGTTGCACTGGCAAATATTCAGACGATAAAAGACTGAACATTCTGTTTGTATTTTAATTAGATCCCTCGATAGAAGGTACTGTAACTGTAAAGTACAGTAGTTATGATATCATCTCACAAATGCAGTCCTATAATGTAGTAGAGCATATCTTACTAGACCACTTCTGCACCATGTGACTGTACGTGTTGCATATGCAGCCACTGTAGTAAAAGCAAATCTGGTTCTTATAAAAATCAGAACTCATGATGGGTTTATGTATGTAAGCGGCCATGATGGATTTTCAGAGAAAGAGTAGAAGGAAATGACAAATGATAATGTCCTGCCGGTCTGTGCAGACACACTCATAGTAATACACGCATACACACAAACATGGTCATGCACATGCACACATCAAATAGAACTGGAACATCTGTCAGACACCGGACCAGTGGTTTAGTTAAAAGATGAGGAGGGGTCTGGTGAACGCTCTGCTATTCATTTATCTCGCA